GGTGTGGGGGGAGGGGGAAGGTTGGGGAGGGAGATCCCGGTTTCTAGAGGGAGTGAATGGGTGGGGAGATGTGGGAGTCGATGTTTAGTCGGTGGAAAGTTGGCACTTCGCTGGGGTCTTGATCGCTGGCGTTCGCGTCTCCTCTGGCGCCGCTGGTTGTTCACGCTTCAAGTGTGATCTGTTGCTCTTCAAAACGATCGGGTTAGGCGTTCCCAACTGACGATGGCGGCTGACACCTGAGCTGCTCGCGTTCGTGGAGTGGATCGTCTTGGTTTGTTCCTTCGTCCTCGGCACCGGGAAAGAACCTCCTCCTTCCGCTATGGCCGTCGACGTGGCGATGGTGGCTCGTTGGTGGATGTGCGGGTTGGCTCGCTGCCTCTTCACTTGGCGGAGAAAAGTTTGCGGGGGGGGGATGCTCGCGCTCGAGGCGTGAGACGTGGCGATGGTGGCTCGTTGGTGGAGGTGCGAGTTGGCTCGCTGCCTCTTCACTTGGCGGAGAAAAGCTTGCGGGCGGGGGGATGCTCGCGCTCGAGGCGGCCATGGGGTCGTTTGTCGTGGTTGATGGTACGGCTCGCGCTCGTGGCGCGAGCTGGCTTGCATGCAGGAGCGATGGCGGCCGCGTCGAGCCGCCCGAATTCGAAGTTCGAAAACGTGCCGGGCGCTTGCGCGCTCGGCGGTTGGCTGGTGGGAGTCGGGTACGGGACGCTAGCGCGGATTAGCGCTGCGTAGCGCTACCGGACGGCGCTGTCGCAAAAAAAAAAAAAAAAAGGAATGAGATTGTGTTTGGCCTTGCACACATGCATTTTCCTTGTTTCAAGATGACCTGAGACATGTCAGCGAGCTACTATGCGGTTGAGGTATGAGATAGACAAATGAACGTGCCTGGTTGAGCGAGACAGCACCACAGTGTGATACGGAGGTGCCATTTGCACTCATGAGAGCATCATAAGCTCATCTTATATGCAATTCGTTGAACACGTGAAATTGCTAGTGGAGCGGCTAAGCTGAATTTCCCCAGTAACGAGTGTGAGTCACTATTTTCGATCCTTGGTAAAAATGAGGGTAAAGAAGTACCTGTAAGTCAATGGGTGCAGGGTATTGATCCCATTGTCCTCTGCTGATGAGAGGTTGTCCAACTTTTGACTGCCTATGATGTGCAGGGGCAAGGCAAAGGTTTCATGCAGCATTGGTTGCTTCTTGAAAGGGAGGGAGAAAGGGACACACAGAAAACTGGTAACAATGGGCATGAATTCACAAGCACATGGTGAGCTTCAGCAGGCATGTGAGCGGGCTCATGTCTGTGGGGCTGCTCATCCTGAGGAATGGCTACTCAAGGATAGATGTGAAACCATGGGTTCTCACCTAAAACTGACAGGAGAGGGGAGCAATAGCCGGAAAAGCGCAGAGTCGTGTACAATCCGGCAGTGGATATGGTTCTTCATTAAGGTCGTTGCCTGGTCATTTGTGGCGACTCTTCTTTTTCTTGTTATTGTAGTGAAAGGCGTGCCCTGGATGTTGTCTAAGGTATGTATTTACAACTTGTCAGCACTGTCATGAGAGTACTTGCATCACCAATGTCGAACCCCTCTTGCCACATTCTCTTCTGCTGCACACATCTGTCTGCTCCACATTTTTTGGACTCTTGGAATGAGATAAACAGTGGGCATCACGTACTATTATGCAGCACACTCCATGCCCTATGTACCACATGAATCACATACACCTCCCTTGCAATGACCTTGCAGATTACAGTTGGAGAACTGTGATCTCAGAGAAGTCACTTCCTTCGGGCGGGTTCTTGCTAAGATTTCCATGTCTGGAGTGTTTTTGCCTCTGCAACTACTGATTATGTTGAGGAACTAACTGTTTGGCAGTGCTGTTGTTCTGCATCTTTTGAGAAACATATTCGTGTAGATACAGTGACACATGGAGCAGAGCGGATAGCTTGTGAAATCAACCCTGTTGCTTGTCACTTTCTCCCTCCTTATCGTGTTGATCTCCTGCTGCACCTCCTCGTCGTTCTCGTCCTGCTCTCATCCTGATCTTCCTCTGGTGAAGATTTGTAAAGGTTTGGTGAAGATTCCCTCGCTGCAGATCGCCAGCACAGAAGATTCCCTCCGCCCAAAAAAAACAAAAAAACAAAGGATCACACGAAATGATCCGATCCATCCACCTTCTTTGGTCTGCCCGAGCTTCCCAGAACATTTTTCTCCATTACAAAAAAGGAGGCAAATAATCTCTCTCTCTCTCTCTCTCTCTCTCTCTCTCTCTCTCTCTCTCTCTCTCTCTCTCTCTCTCTCTCTCTCTCTCTCTCTCTCTCTCTCGGAGAAAAATGGGACGCGGATGTTTCTGAACTTACCTTAACTAGGAGGGCAAACGGATAGAATGAGTGTCACCTTGATGGTTCTTGGCGTTATCCGGAGCGACCAAAACCTTACTAATTCCGCTGATTTGAATCTCCCTCTTCGTTGAAACTCTTAGTAAGGTTGCGCGCCTTGAACGAGCCCTACTCCTTGCTTCCTTGCTTGTCTTCAGCGTTTCCGTTCGCAGGACTTGTTTTTCCTCCCCTTCTTCACTTTTCTCTTACTCATTCCCTCCCTCCTCACGCCCTTTACCAATCATTATTCCCTAGTTTTGGTCATTGTGTTTGTCCTTGTCCCCTCCCTCTTCGCTTCCCTTCTCATGGTCTTTCTCTGGTATTTGCGCGCTCCCTTTGATATACGCCTTGTTTATTTTCCTCTTGCGTATCTCTTTCCTCCACGTCTCCTCTTGTTTCTTTACTAATTTCAGTTGTGTCTTCGTCTTTGTTGCCCTTGTCCTTGATGATGATTGAGTCGAGCGATGGATTCCCTTTTGCCACGCCCGAAGGCGTGGCGCCCCTGCGTTCTTTCCCCGCCCGTTTTCGAAAGCTGGGCGACGCGAGAATTACCGCGTGCGCTACGGCGGAGCGCCGTGTGCGATCGGCTCAGGGGGGGGGGGCAGGAATTGCCGCGCACGAAAGCAGCGTTAGCATTAGCGCTAACCGATGACGCTAGCGCAAAAACCCCCTCTGTCTTTCCATTCTCGACGGGGCATCTTGATTGGGAGGTTCAGGGAACTTTCACTGCAGGTCTGACACACAGTCAACCTGGTCTATGAGATTCTGCTGAAGTTGTCGGTCAGTGGTTGACGGGCTAAAGTTCTTCAATCAAGTTCTGCTTGAGTGAGTTCGTTCCGTGGAGTTTCTTGACCCGAAGTCAGACCCTGTCAGCATTTGTTACAGTCTACCAGCCTTTTGTCACCATGAAGTCTAGGTCAGATAGGTTATCAGTCACCATTTTGCTGTTTCCGAAGCCTCTCTGAATCCGTTCCAATCTATAAATGGAAATGCATCTCACTGACCCTGTCCTGATGTGATTGCCTATCTGGTTTTGTGAGCGTCAACCGGAATTGGTTTCTATATGTCAGTCGCTGTCGGTTTGCCGGTCAGTGAGCAGTCAGAAAAAGATGTTTGTCTGCGTCAGAGAAACTGCATATCCTCCGTTTGCTTAGAACGCCAGCCTGCAACAGCGGTAATTGAAAACCCGCTCCGTTTTAATTTTCTTTCCCCTCTTGATTGCAACAAAAAAGTCTCTCTCTCCCTTGCTGTTTAATGCTAACAGTTTTGGGAAGGCTCTGCTGCGAGCCTGATAAAAAATAACTTTGTATTTCTGATTGGGTTGCTGGCTCAGACGTGGCCGTTCCGTTGACTGTTTTGGCCGTTTGCCTAACCCTGTAATGTCCCAGACTGTTCTCTAAAATTTGACACTACATGCCGTCCCAAACCTTTTGTAACGTGTTACTAAACAACACAGTTAAATTCTCTTTATTGGTGTTTTGCGTGTGAATGGTAATCAAAGTTGTTTTTTTTCTTTTCTTTTTATTTGTTTTACTGACAAATAAATTTTTGAAAAGATCATTATGGTGGAGGAAGGCGGGGATACGTCCATGAAGTCTAAGACAGGCGGGGAGGAACGTAAACCCCTGACTAAAGGGGATCTCGTGAATGCTGTCCTGAAAGCATAAGAAAAATTGCTGCAGATGCTCAACGGGAAGTAGAGAGAATAAAGAAGGAGAAGGCAGAGGCTGTACGGAGAGGAAAAGCTGCAGCCAGAAAGCGCTGCGCTGCAGGACAACATTGCCAAGACTCCTTCTGACACCCGTGTGGCTGAAGTTACATGAAATCTTGCAGACTTCGTCCTGCTGGAATCTGCTCATAACCGGGATGTTTTTACATCCTGGGATGAATGGATCTCAGAAGTTGAGCTCCAACTGTTGCCATCGACAGCAATCTGCAAAAGTCGTCAGCAGCATTCTTCAAGCATTTCCCTCGCAACCCTGTACCCTCTCCTCACTCTACTGTCCTTCCTCCTCTTGACCCTCCACCGACACCCACTCCAAACACATCCCGTCCTCTCTCCCAAGAAACCGCCACCTCCAAAAGAGGTGGCACAAGTCTCTAGGAATGTGGCCACAATGGGCCTGAGATTGAACACAGTGTAGCAAGAACTGTGGTTTCCCAAAATGACCCAGCCTGAGAAATTCACCGGGGAAGACCCCAAAGTGGACGTCTCAGACTGGATAGCCCAGGATGAGATCATATCTCAGGGGCTATACCTGTCCAGAGGTGGACAAGGTACGTGCCAGAGTGGCCCTCCTGGCAGGGGTTGCACTGAAGTGGGCAACTTATGAGGCCAGCAAGGCTCATAAGCAGCTAGCAGACTGGATATCTGTCACTGGTCTGGATGGCATTTCCAGGGCCTTGAAACCAGGTATGCAGACAAGGAGCAAGCCCACAAAGCCAACGATGAGCTTGTGCGACTAGGCTAGAGCAAGTGGCGTGGACCGCTCACCTAGCTCTATGCGGAGTGGCAAAAACTCACATCTACACCTGGTTTGGAGACGTTCGAGTAGGACAAACTGACTTGGTTTGTTAGGGCTGCTCCAAACACATTAAAAGACCCTGTTTACTGCACGCCACAAAGACTGGAGGTCTTTCGCCTGGGCAGCGCTGGAAATGGACACTGCCCTCCATCTCCAGACCACTTCCCAGAAGGAAAGCACCTCCTCTTCCCAGAACAGGAAAAAGGGAAAGGGAGCAATGTATGCCATGGGATCTGATGATGACTACCAGGGAGGATATGTTCCCTCAACTGGTCTAGATGCAGGAGCAGCAGCAGATCAAGCTGCCCTGATTTTTGGTCAGACTCTGATGAGCCTTGTAAAAGGCAAAGGTCAGTTTCAGGCCTAAAGGTCCTCTAATCGTAAGGGGTCAAGCAAATGCCCTGGTGGACCGCAGATACCCAATCTCCCAAAGGGTGCCACGTGTCCAACTAACCCCATGGATCCTGCCTCTTTCCCCTGGAGAGATTTGGAGATTGTAGAGGGGACATGGCAAAAGAGGAAGGATAATGGAGTTTGCCTCAGGTGTGCAAAGAAGCACTTTGTCAAGGACTGTCCCGCTTGGGGCTCTAACAATTCAGAAAACTAAGCACGCCAACAGAGGTAGCAGCCACCGCTGTTGAACTGCATTCACCCTCTACGGCAACTATAGGCAAGGTTATGAGGTGGCGACGAGGAAGAAAACGAATCCTGGATACTTCGTTGAACATTTGTTTTTGGTTGTTCAGGGTTGTTGACCCACGCGATTGTGATTACTGGCTGCAATGATGTTCTGGCTTTTCTGGGAGGCCAGCCAACATGGAGGGAGGAGTGGTTGGAGGAAGAGGGAGCTTGCCCGCTAGACCTACTGGTTCAGTAACTACGTTAGTTGAGCAGTGGATCATTCTTGCAGCTTTTGGCATGGGCTCAAGGTTGTTCCACCAGAAAGTGATGTAGTGGAGAGGCCTGATGGAGGAAGAGGAACTAGGGGTAGGAGATGCAAACCTCTATAGTTGTGGAGGCCAAGTAGGAAGGAGAAGAAGCGTTGGCTGTGGTGGTTAGTATTTATGCCCATTTGGTCGTTCCAGATGAGCTTCATGGCTAGACCTTGCACTTTCGTCGAGTCAGTGACATGAGGAGCCATCGTTGGAGTTTGTATGACGTTTACATACGAGCGATTAAATTTCGTGCAAATACGAGACTTTTTAGCACATTATCTTTTTGGGGCATATCCCTATCGAGCTACGACAGGATAGCTTCCCGTGAGGCACAACTTACTTTCCCGTGAGGATAGGTTTCCGAGAGGCACAACTTACCTTCCCTAAAGGGGTTATCACCACCCTTAGGGCATATCCCTAGTGAGCTACTGACCCACGCACGAAAGCTTTTACATGCAGTCGTAGAGGTAGGTCAACCGAGGGCGTTTGCTCGTTTTGCTGTAGTATGGGTAAACGTGGTTAGAACGTCATCTGAACCCGAACATCGTTCGTT